ACGAGGCACAGATCCGTAGGGCTGATGATAGGGTCGGGTATTTGTTACGCCGGTTAAGGGATCATAATCTGCTGAATAACACGAATATAATTGTTTTGTCAGACCATGGGATGGCTGAAGTCAGGTACGTCTACAATTTTTACGGAATATTCTGATTACAATTCTAATATAAAATAGTAATGCTAATTATATTAAGAACTGTAATTACAAATAAGTATATTACTTTTACATTTAAATAATTTTGTTTGATATATTATTTTGGAGTTAGTTTGCAACTACATTTTGATAATGATATTCTGAATGTGTAAGTTTAGTTAGCAATTTTTAAGATTAAAATGCAAAAGTGATACCCGTATTAGTTCACAGGTAAGTTTTTGTCTGGTAAACTTTTTGGATGCATAGCTCGTAATACGAGATGTTGTGAACCACGGATACCACAATTCATAAGACAACCAAAACCCTTTTATACCACAAATACTTGTCTCAATTCACATTACAGTCTTTATTAACAATATTATAAATATTCTAAACATGTGAATAAAAATTAGTATAATATTTATAATTAATGGAAGTGTAATTATTTTTAAAATAATATTCTAAATTTAAGAATTTCTAAAATTTAATTCTTAAATAGTACTAAACAATAAATTAATTAATAATTAAAATTGTATACAGAATTTTATCAATACGTTATGCATTTGCTTATCAACTGACAAGTAGAGTAGACTATTGCATACTATTATGTAATTCTGTTTACTATTGCTTGTGTAATGTAGTTGTAATGCAATGTATTACGAATTGATTACATTTTAATATATTTATACTCTTAAATCTCTTAAAAACTTTACGCAGTACAAACACTTTATTATAAAATTATTTATGTTTTAGATAAATATAATGCAATCAATTAAAAAAATTACTAATTTCTTTAAATAATGATATTAAAAGATAAACTCTCTCAATCCAGAATTAAATATTAAAATCAATAAATAAAATCAAAACTGAGAATAATATTTACCAAAACTTTAAATTTATTATAACTTTAAAATACACTAAATAAAACTATAATACAAAGTTACAGTGTATAATACAAGTTTAAAGTAAATATTTGCTTAAATATATAATTCTAGTTACAATACAATTGTAATAATGTGTTTGAATGTAATTCAGAGGCAATCGTGTGATAAATCTGAGCAAATTGGTGAACCCGGACTGGTATCATATGGTGGGCGCCTCCCCCACGTGGTCTATAGCTCCCAAACACGGCTACACGAGTCGTGTATACGACGCCCTTAAGAAGGTCTCCAAAAGCAATCACTTCACCGTCTACTGGAAGGATGACATACCGGAGCACTTCCATTACAAACACAATCGACGGGTATTACCCATATTTCTGATGGCCGATGAGGGCTGGGATGTGTTTAAAGAGGGCAAGAAGTGGAGGCCGAAGGGCTATCCCGTGTGGGGTAATCACGGGTGGGATAACACTCTGCCGTCAATGAGACCCCTATTTGTGGCGAAAGGACCGGCGTTTAAGTCGAGATATGTGCACAGCCGGGTGTTTCTCAATACAGATCTCTTTCCACTTATGTTACAGATATTAGGACTTCCCTCTAAGCAGTTCCCAAGTGATGGCTCACTCAATAGTGTTGTCGATTTGTTGGCTAATCATTGATTCAAATGATANACATTAGAGCTTAAGAATAGGTATTAATGTTAATACCGTTTGAATATTGAAACAGATTTTTATCATTTAGTCTTATATGGGTTAAAATATTGGACTCGATCACTATTTTATTCCACATAATCATTATTACGGCAATACAATGTGTATAATATGTAGAAATCAATTTTAATATAGCATTGCTATCAGTATTACAAATAATAACCAGTTTTTCCACATTACGTCCAATACATGCATACATGCCATTCACTGGCATTAATACACTATTATTATAGTGAATGAAAAAAAACTACTAAATATATAAATGATATGTTAGTTTTCAATGTCACAGACAGTAGTCTTATTGAATGCGCATTCAATTATATTGATAGGAAAGTTAGCATACATTCCTATGGGCACTGGTAGGCTGGTAGCAAAAAAGTGTTTGTGCTATTCATATGAGTCAATGAATTTTTCAGACACACATACTGATGGATATAATTGATTAAAATGGTTAGGAATATATGGACTAACCTTTGGTCATATCACAGGTGATTGTGGATGAGATCCCGGTGTATGGATGGGGCAGTACTTTGTGAGGGGACTATGACTTTGGTGTAAGAGTTAAGTGCATAAAATTGGCTAAAAATGTGCAAAACAGGTAAATATATCGCAAATATCGTGTATACATATTTATTTAGTGCCGTAGTATTGGTCGATGTAAGTGCTCAGGGCCACCTTAATTAAGTTTGTGTAAGTGTAAGTGTGTCTCTGTCTATTGATATATATGACTTGTACTTGTAGTTTGTAGGAATTCCTTGAAAGCTACAGTTCCTACTCGTTGTATCGTGTATGGTCGTAGGCGGTGTGCACTGACACTACTATTTATTATTGAATTCTTGTATTCAATTCAGTAAACAATGTGCTATTCATTTACATACACTCTGTTTGCCAATATAATGATTATTGTTTTAAAAAGTTTTTTGTAGCGTTTTTTGATTGTTTTTTAACTTGTAATTTATTTGAATGTAATGAATGATTGTCTATTTTTATGATTCATTCATTCATTTTGTTCTTATATAATATTAAATTCGTGTATTTTTAGTACATTTTAACCAAAATATCAAATAAATAGTAAACATATTAAAAGACCATTCTTTTCTCAACCAAAATATTTTATATAGATTTTATAATTAATAGATTTAATTATATAGATATTAATTAAGTTGTTATAATAAGAGACTATTTAAAAATTACAGCTTATAAAATTATATGTTATATGTTTGTGTAATATTTATTTTAGTAATCTAAATATACTATTCATTATCTCTGAATCAGAGACTCTGATACCTGTTGTAGCAAGTAGAAGCTCCACAATTCTCAAGTTTATATTATTCTTAAAATTTATTTTAACCATGATAAAAATAATTTATTCACTGGACTTTATTGTCCAAACTTTGGACAATAATACTTTGGACTCCAAAGTAAGAAAATATAGAATTAATTTATAAATGCTAATACTGTAATAAAATCATATTCAAAATTACAGTAATGTGAAAATGTCTCTGTTAAAATGTATGATTTACGGTAATAATCAAGTTTCGTATAATTAATATTTAATATGCTCATCTTTAAGGTTTAAAATAGTAATCTAAAACAGTATTAGATAATTGAGCAATTATAATTTTAAAATATTTGAAATACCAAAAATAATAACGTATACTGGTGTTGTTAATTTTGAAACACATTTAAATAAAATAACAAAAATATGTTCATAATTACTAGTTATCAAGGTATATATTTGCAATGTTAATAAACTAATTATAAAATTTTAATTAACATTCATAACAAATGTTTGAGAACATACTTACAAAATATAAATAAAAACAAAACTATTTTATAAATATAAGCAAATGTTTGGCAAAACTTGAGAGTACTTCAGAAAAATTATCATCAAATTTGCATATATTTTGCGGCCAAATATGGGTTCAATAAATACGCTCTCAATCATAACATGCCTTACATTTGGTATACAATTAATTGAAAAGTCTCTATAAAATAACTGTTTATATAATTATATATATTTATAGCGCTTATAAGCAGCGGCAGTGGCGGGGGTTCGCCATCACCTCCAGGTATACGTAAACACGACATTTGAATTCAATTTAAATATTTGCAATACAAAAATGTGTGTTTATTTGTACAAACGTATAGCGAGTATCAATCTATTGGCTGTCAATAACTACAACGAATGTGAGGGCAAAGACACAAATAACTACACATTCATCAGGACCTGGTCTCAGACCCTTCCCTGTACTGATGACAGGGATGGCACCGCATGGGTTGGTAGTAATGATACGCTGAGTGCCTGTCCACCTAACGGCCCCCGTGTTGTCTACCAATTGGAAAAGTTAGCCAACTCGACATACCCACAGGGAGGTATGCATTCAGACAAAATGCTAGCTAATATTTATTGCATTTTACTATGTTTATTATTAATTATATTAAATTATAATTACTCTGGATCAATTTTAGCATTCGTTCAAATAGAGACACTGTATTTGGTAGTAAGTGGTCAGGGACCTTTGCAGGGAAAGTATGTCTACTCCAAATATATTATACTACTGGATGTGTATCAGAAAGCGTGTACTACGGTATTGGGATTGGGCTACACGTCCACTAACAATGCCGTCCTATTGATTAGCGATAATTTAAATCTTAATGTCTTTGTATCGCCTGCCGGTGCTTACGACCAGTTTAAGAAGGGCTGCACCACTGTATGCAAGGGATCGGGATTCACTGTATAACTCGTTTATTACTCTTTTATTTTTTATCATTAAATGCTAATTATTTATGTGTTTAGAAAACATGAAATAAAACATATTTATTATGTATAATAAAATTAATAATTAAAAAAGTTTGAAAATTATTTCCAATAGTATTTTATTGCAATTCTTACTATAAAATAAATTACTTGTATTTTACAGAATATTCTTATAATCTTTAAAAAAAATTTTTTTTTGATTTGAATAAAAGTATTAATTAAAAATATTTTGATTTATAACATTTGTTACACAACTGCACACAAATAGCAAAATAAATCTATTATTAATACAGACGGGAAGTTTTAATATCGTCACAAAACACATTATAAGTACAGTATAAGTATAATAGGATTTATTTAAACAAAAGGATACAGTTGTCAGTAAAATGTTTGTTAAATAAAAACTATATTTTATGCGTATCGTACTCAAAACTTTTGTATACAATTACCTGATGGAGTTTAAATGTGTGGCCTGTATTAATTTATTAATTGAATTCATTTAATAAATTTATGCAAGATAAGCATGGTAACATGGAAAATTTATTGCTGTAAAAATATATATTTTAACCAATAAAGTTTATATTAAACTAAATATTTACAATATTAACTTGGAATATTATATAAATTGCATAAATGTTGACAATTACTAATGATATTTACCAAGGACAACTGTTTAATAGATAGGATATTTGACAAATAGTTTGTTACAACT